ACACTGAGCAGTTAGATAGCTTGATATATTACATACATTGACAGCATACACAGAGGAGGACTATTGTGTAGAGGAAGCGTCTCCATGTATAGACATGCGTGCATACATGTGCTGTATTACAGCACCACAAGGCAACATCGACATTATGTACAAGAGGAGCCTTCAGCCTCCGCACCGTACTTGGGGTCCATCCTGCCTTCCTTGTCCTCCCTCCCCGGCCTATTTGCCATTCGTTTTTCCATACCACCCCCGTCCCCAAAGTCTTCTGGGCACTGCCAAGTTCATTATTCCTCTACACGTCTGTAGAGGAAGCCGGAGCAGCAGCAGTCAAACCGCAAGGGACACGAAATCTCAGGCTGCGCCTGAGAGCCTGGGCATAACTGCAGTGCCGGCCGCTGGGCACCCACGTCCTTTCCAGGACGCGGCAGCGGGTGGTGACAGACCTGCACGTCCTGCAGCCATCACCGCGGTCTCCAAAGGGGACAGAGTTTTTACTTTCTGCTCTCAAATGCAGCAGGGGTGAAACATGCGAAACGGCTGTGAAAGTAGCACAGCCTTCATTTACCCCAGGCAGAGCTATTAGCACAGAGAGAGGCTTTACAAGCTTCTTTACCACTGCCATCTGCATTCAAAAACTATTGGGGGGGCTTTTAAGGATACACAGGGGCAGTTCGCTGGCCAAAGTTTCTGGTTTTTTTAGCTAAAGATACCAAGGCAGAGCGGAGGCTTAAAGGTTCAGGTCAACTCTAATTTTAACTAGAGTGGTTTTCTCACCTCTGCCTGTGTCAAAGGCAGTATCACAGTATCAGGATTCAGTGTCAGCTGTCAGAGATTTGGTAGCAACGCAACCACTTTTATTCCCATCATCACTATTTAACAAGGATGAAAATAGCCACCTCAGTGCAGCCCCCCCTCCCTCCGCTCGGGAGAAAGACTTCAGCAGCTGGTTCCCAAGCCCACCTTTAACCTCGGCAAGAGCAAATTCTACCAGAATCACTTTATTACACTCCATGACCCAGCTGCATCTCTGCAAAAGCAGCTCACTTCAGATGCATTCTTTAATTCTCTGCTCCACTTCTCACAGCAGCACCACAAGGCAACATCGACATTATTTACATGAGGAGCCTTCAGCCTCCGCACCGTACTTGGGGTCCATCCTGCCTTCCTTGTCCTCCCTCCCCGGCCTATTTGCCGTTCGTTTTTCCACACCAGCCCCATCCCCAAAGTCTTCTGGGCACTGCCAAGTTCATGCATTTGCATTCTTGCAGGGGTTTGTGGTTGCGTTTCCACAGGGAGGTTCAGGGTCCAGCTAACACATTTGCATGGCAGAAGCACCCGGAAAAGCCGACAAGCCACGCCACCAGGCACGTGCTTTGACTCCCGGTGAGAAGAAAATGCCCGTTTGAGGAAATTATTAATTTTGCAGACTGGATTCAGAGTACACAGCACCAGCCTCTGCTCATGCAATTTCAGAGCTCTAATGCCCCCTTGCACAGGGAGATGGCACGTAGGGGAACGTAAGCTTTCTTCACCCCTTTATGGTAGAAGCCACGTTACCTTTTCTCCCCCACCTTCCCTTGATGACAACAACTCTTACCTTCAGCAAGCAGGAGGATCCATCTGTGGCAGCCAGGGTCTGTCTTGGGGCTCTGGCAGGATGTAGGGTAAGGATAAGCCAATGTACAGGATTGCCATACGTTTCTTTTGCCATATAACTTTTGTGGATTAGCAGCTGCACTGTATGTTAAATGCAATAATTAAATGAATTAAACTGGCCCTGCAAGTGCAGCTTGCAGTCTCCTCTCTGGTGAGACTTCTCTAATAAAATTATAATAAAAGTAAGTTAGAAAAATTAAATATTTAAATTCTTACCAGTGCTGGAAGAAGGTCCAACACTGCTCTGCCTTTTGTTTCTATCATCCAAAAACCTTAGCAGCTTCTTAGTAACTTCTGAGATGTGCACCTGCGCAAGCACATGGCAGGGAGCTCCCCTGAGCTGAATTAACCCCTGCCCATTAACCCCTCCGCTTGCCGCTGCAGACAGTCACATTGTCAGCTACATTTGCTCTTGCTGTGGTAGGAGCGCCCCTCTCACCGGGAAGCTGTCTCAGCGCGGAGAGTTAAAAAAATAGAACACCTAGGCGGAAAATAGGTACTGGCAGGCAACGCTTTATTCTCATCGACTGTGGGGAACAGTATGCATGAAAGCACCGCTCGAGGCCAATAGAGAGTTAAGAAACCAGTTACATGCGTTACTTTTCAAACCTGCTTTGCAAGTGCTACAGCTAAATGCAGGAAAACAGGTTCTGGGAGGCCTCATATGATGTGCACAAAAGCTTTTTTTCTCCCAAGTGCAGAAACTTCCCCCCACATTCCCAAGGGCCTGAGCATATCCAAAGTGAAAGTAAAACCAAAGAGCTTTTATTCAGCCCAGCAAAAGCAGCCGGTGTGGAGCAGCGCTTATGGGGTTCCAGAGGGAGAGATCTGCAGAGAAGGGAAACAGGAAGAACAACTTTTGAGGTAGAAGAAGCAAAACCAGGAGGCCCTCTAGAGATGCCAGCTGCTAAAAAAAAAAAAAAAATCCTGTTAAAATAAGTCCCGGGCACTAGCAAACTGCAGGTGCTTAATGAAGTGACATACTTCAAGATCTGCTATTTAAACTCTGCCACCCTCTAACATTTAGGGAAGGGATCGTGCCCCTGTACTCGGCACTGGTGAGGCCGCACCTCGAATACTGTGTTCAGTTTTGGGCCCCTCACTACAAGAAGGACGTTGAGGTGCTGGAGCGTGTCCAGAGAAGGGCAACGAGGCTGGTGAGGGGTCTGGAGAACAAGTCTTCTGAGGAGCGGCTGAGGGAGCTGGGGTTGTTTAGCCTGGAGAAAAGGAGGCTGAGGGGAGACCTCATCGCTCTCTACAACTACCTGAAAGGAGGTTGTAGCGAGGTGGGTGTCAGTCTCTTCTCCCAAGTAACTGGTGATAGGACGAGAGGAAATGGCCTCAAGTTGTGCCAGGGGAGGTTTAGATTGGATGTGAGGAAAAACTTCTTTACTGAAAGAGTGGTTAAACATTGGAACAGGCTGCCCAGGGAAGTGGTGGAGTCCCCATCCCTGGAGGTATTTAAAAGACGTGTAGATGAGGCGCTTAGGGACATGGTTTAGTGGGCAGGGTGGTGTTGGGTCGACGGTTGGACTCGATGATCTTAGAGGTCTTTTCCAACTTAATGATTCTATGATTCGCCAGCGTTTCACCCTGAGCATTTGGGCGCGGACATATACTCTGTGCAGCCCTGTCACGCCTGCAAAACAACTGCACGCCACCAGGCTGTTTCTGTTTCTGGTAAGTTGTTAGAAAAATTTCCTGAGATGCTAAACTCCAAAATGCTCTAGCAGATCTGCAAGGACTATGGCTTCCACCAGGCTCTGCAGGATCCCCAGAGACACCAGCGTTTCAGAGCCAGGTCCCTGGCCTTGATCAGATGCCAAGACTTCACAGAGATGAGTTCCCGAGTGCTCCCTGCTACCAAAAGTTGGGAGTTAAAAACAAAAAACAGCAGCAAAAACACATTTTAGAAGAGACTACTAAATAATTTTGCCGCTTTAGTACTGTACTAAAAAGAAAAAGAGATTCCTTAAGAGGTGACCCCCAGTGCAATAGTATCTGGCAAGTTGGAGTCCTCTATAGCTTTAGACATACCAAACAATGCAGCAAATAAACGTAAGACCCCAAGACCCTTGGGATGGGCAGATCTCCCTGGAATATTCTTTGGCCTCCCAGCTTCGTACAAGGTCCTTGTACCTGTAAAGAACCTGTCAAGGCTCTTTTAATCTTCCATGGGCCCAGTGTGTTTCATGCCGTTATTTTCCTATTTTTTCTTCTCCCCAAAACTTCTGTTTTTCTTTCTTTCAAAACTCTGCCAGTGCATTGAGGATTATATGAATATAGATCAGGTTGCTCTGTTTTCATATCTGACTATACAGATGCACCAACATCTGCTGCTTTCTCTTCTCTCATTATTTCTCCCCTCTCTCATTATTTCCTCTCTTCTCTCATTATTTCTCCCCTTGTGCTTCTAAACCTTTGTATGGTGAAGGACTGACACATGCCTTCCTCACTCTGTTCCCTGAATCTCAGGTTCAGAAGTGCTTTATTGGTCCGCATATAAGGCAAACCCTTCACTTCTCAAAAGATGGGAAAAAAGACATTTAGAAAATGTATGTATTTTAAAAAACTATACCTTGTCCCATGATGCCTGCCCACAGCTTACCTCTCCCCAGCTTCTGTAGGACACCCTCAGCCCACTCACTGCTCAGCACCCAGTGTGTCACCCAGCACACCCTGCAAGGTGGCACAGCCCCCTGCCCCGAGCCCCTCTCCTGCACCTCCCCGGGGTGCCCCAAGGTGCTGGGAGGCAGTCGGATGGCACCGGTCACCTCCCCACATCAGTCCATTGCATGGGGGGGCACAGGGGACTACAGACAAGATGCATCCCCTGAAATGGGAAGAAAATTTCAGTGAGCTGGGGAGATTTCTGCTGTCATGGGACTGGGGGTCTGAGCTTGACCTGGACATCTCGGGTATCTGCCATTGCACCAGCAGCTACCAGAGACTTGTAAAGGGGCCACCTGGTAGCTTCACACCTACGGCGTACACTGGCACGTGCAGTGAGCTGCACATCCTCCGATAACCCCACCGCATATCCTCTGGGCTCGCGGGTCCTGGTTTCCCATTCTCTGCTTCCCAAATCAAGCCATCTAATCCTATAGCCCCAATGCTTCCAAAGCCCATCTCTTACTTTGTAAGTAAATATATATGTATATGCACATCTCTTATTTTCTAAGTATGTATATAAATATATTATTTTCCTTTTTACAGTTACAAATTGCGTTTACACATAGGTTTTATTTTTTTGGTATCTATGCAAGCTTCTTATGGAAGATGAGCTCAAGATATAAAACTTCTGAAAAACATTTCATTTTGGTTTTTATTATTTTTGAAAAGCCTACATCAAAATATACTATGTATGTCTGTAGCTATAAACTCTGTAGGGTAAACCCAATTCTTCAAACACACAGAACAGAATAAAACCAATGCCACTGCCACATCCACTTTTGCCTTCATCTATCCCACTCAACACCTTTCCATCAGCTTCCCGGAGCGCACCAAGCCTTCACTGGCCTTTCAGGCCCAAAATATTCTGGAGGTTTTTCTCCACATGCTGAGGCTGTCTGGCAGCATCCACCTTCAGCCTGGAGCCCATCACTTCGTAGAGGCTCTTTGCAAGCTTGGTGACCACAGTCCTGATGCTGTTGCTTCGGACAGGCAGGGCCCTGTTTCCCAGGAAGAACCAGAGCACGGGCAGGGCGTAGCGCTGGACGGCTTGGGGTCTCTGGCGATAAACAGATGCCACAAGCACTGCCGGGCGAGAGAGACAAGCTTCTTAACAACCTTGATGCAAACAAGTACTTACTTTTATTTTTGGTTCTCAGAAGCCTTTTCTGGCTAATATCAGCAAGCACAAAGAGCCCGATGATCCAGAAACAGGCAATAGTGGCTGATCATCCACTGAACGGAACAACCAACCTCTGAGGACCTTAATTTCTCCAAATCAGGGGCTTTGTATCCATGATAGACTTAGCAAAGTGAATCATACACATTTTGTAAATTGTTTCACTATCCGCTTCTGCATTACAAATGACAAAAATGTCAAATCACTGTTTATTTCCATTAAGAAATTGTCTAAACCAGCTGCTGAAGATTTTGAAATGCAGCTTAGAGAGGTAATAGAAAGACTTCTAATAAAAAGGATGATTGCTTTTTTGTGACCTTTGATGAAAAATGCCAAAAGTCTAATCTGGCAGTTCCCTTTGCTCAGTGGCACACAGCAAACGGCAGTATCATACCACACTTCAAAACTCCAGCCCACAAAAATGTGTGCTGCTTGACAGTTTTCTCAGAAACATCAGTGACTAACTGATGCCATTGGCAAATGGTCTAATTTGAGGTTTTTCCTCTCATACTTGGTGGCTTCTAATGAACACCTGTTTCAAACTTCAGGATGTCTTAGATAATGACTCAGACCCCATTGCCATGGCATTTGAGCATCTCACAATTTTAATGGCGTTTACCCTCACAATGTTCCCTGAAATAGGGGAATAGAGAGAGAAAAATCTTACACAGGGGGCTGAAATTTAACCAAAAAACAAGCATTCCCTCCCATTCTCTCTGAAGTCTGCTCTCAGCTCATTTTCTGAACTGAACTATATTAAATACAAACAAAAATTTACTACCAATAGGCTCCTTGCATGGCAGATTTTGCTGAGAGATCAAAATCTGAAATGGTCTGGAGACAAGAGTTCTTATTTTCTGTTCAGTGGAAATGTTACGCAGTAACCACTTATTATTCTGTAGTGGAAGGACCTTCATTTTCTCTAAGCTGTTAATCTAGCATCAGTCATCAACATTTAAACAGCTCCTGAAAGTACCTAAAAACAATTCTGGTAAGCAGGAAAAGGGTTATGGTACCTATTTTAAAATGGGAGTTAATTTGAGTTTAAATGCTATTAAACACAGCGGTCACTATGGAGCTTCAGAAGAGAAAGAGCTGTCTGTTCCCACTAAATCCCAGAGAGAACATCTGCTCTCTCTAAAGTAGTCCCAATTTATGTTCAAATGCTGTATTTGAAAAAGAGATTAAAATAACTGTAAAACTAAATTCTATGTTTATGGAGATTTACTTTATTCAAATTATCTTTAAAGGCCCTTTTACATTTGCTATGGCTAAACATGCCCTTTTGAGATTCATAATGAAGCAGCAAAGTATATTAAACCTTGGATTAAAAGATACTGGCATAATTAGTAGTGGATTTAGCCCTAATTAAACAAGGCTATAAATAGTTTTCTCTAGTATATATTGAGATTATAATTTTTTCCATTCCTTGGCTATTGCTGACATAGCAAGCTACTATTATAAATCAATTATCAGCTGGATTTGTAGTGTGTCGGACACCGCTGATATAGAAATAGACTGTTTGCACATACTGAAATGCTCAGAGTCCAATGTCATATCTGCAATACAGGCTGGGAGCCTCAGTGGGTGGGGCTGAACTGCCCGCTTCTGCCCCTCTGCCCGCAAATACTGCCCTGCACAAAATCCTTGCCTGGAATATGCGTGTTTTCACCCACAGTATAACCCCCAGGCTCTGCAGGATTCAACCTCAAAAATTTCCAACGGGAAAACAAGAATCCCGTGATGACAAAACAAACTGATCCTCAGAAATACCAGTTGCCACAAATTTTTCTGGAGGATGGTCGTTCGCTTCAGAAAAGGGACCTCTTACAGACCTCCATGACCTTTACTGTACTGTCCTTCAAAGAGAGGAGCCAGCCAGGGTATTTTTAGTCCCTCTCTTTCCTGGAGGCAGGTCCTGAGATACCCCAGTGAGAGCTCAGCACTGGAGCCCAAGCGCCATCCTCATCTCACGTGCTTCACGCCTCTGCAGGAGCCAGGCAAACCCCTGCTAAATACCCCTATTATGTGTATTTTGCAGAAGAGACAAGCTCAGGACCTTCTGGTGTTTGATAAGCTACTGCACTGTCTATTCAGAGGCATTCCCTCTAAATATTGCCTCTGAAGTCTTCTTGACTTAAACGGGGAAATTAGCTGAAGCAGGCGATACCTGAGAGACGTTCTGTGACATCCAGCAGAGCCTGGCCGCTGAGCAAACACACTCGGTGGGCTAATGCTTGCAGCAGCAATGTGTTATCTGAAAGAGAAACATTATTTTTGCTCACTCTTCTGAGGTTATAAGAAAAAAAAAAAAGGGAGGGGGCAGAGGTAACCGCATTTTGTAAAATAAAGTAAATTTCTGCCAGTTTCCGAGTCCTTTTCTTCTTTCCTTCCAGCTTACTTGGGCGGATTTTAAATTCAAAAAGAAAAGCTCTCATTTCACATTTGTAAATACAAAGTTGACTGCTGTACAAGGAGCTGTGTTAAACACTTCACATCAGGGCCCTCAAAATTTAAGTCACATGTAAGCAGTGAAAAGGGTTTGCGTCCCAGAGCTTTGCAGAAATGACCCCCTCCTTCCCCTAAGGAAAAGGGTCAGAAGGCTCAAAAGTCCACATATCCATTCACACTTTAAGGATAAGCTGGTGTTAAATCTTTAAGTGTTGGGATATATGGACAAGACCCCAGGTTACTTTTACAAGAGAGAATTACTGCTCATTGCCAACACTATCCGCTCTCAGCGGCTCTTGTAACATCTCTGAAATCAGATCTTGGCAGAGAGACTGGAAAACGAACTAATTTCCCAATACTTGACTGTCTCATGTATTTTAGTTTTTCCTATACTGCCTGTTGTTTATTTGGGGTCTTGTTTTAATTTATAAACTGTTGCCTGGATTGGTCTGCAAGCTTCCAGTCTTACCGCTTTGATAAGCTAAGCAAAGCTTTTCTTGGAGGCAGAATGTGCGTGGGACGCGCTACGATACCTTGTGGTGCCACCAGGAGTGGCACCGATAAAGCAGGCAACCTACTTCTTTGAGAACCACTACAGAGCCAAATCCCAAAGTGGTTTGAAGTAGCACTGTGCTATTAAGTGCTCCTTTTTGCATGAGATATAAAAAGGAAGTCGCTAATGATTTTCTTGCAAGTGTGCAGTAAAGAACTGATCCTGCTATCCTAATTAAGCTTCTGCTTTGGTAATTACACTCTTCTCATTCACTTTTTTAAACAGACACTTCACTTTTTGCCTCACAGTCTTGCAGTATTGGCAGACGCTGTTTCACACTTGCTGTTCCTCCCTAGAGAGTTACCTTACAGCTGCTGCTTTGAAAAAAATGCCCCGAGATCTGGAGATCTTGAAGGAGCACAAAATGTTAATTAATCGTTAATATCGGTATCTACACAGATTTTCAGGGGAATGCTTGGGGTTTGGGTGGGTGAGGGGGAACTGGTTTTTTGCTTGTTTTTTTAGGAATTTAAGTGTATAGGCACTATTCACCTTTCAAACTAAGCGTTTCAAATGCCCTGTGCATTTTGAAGCAGTAAAGCCCAAGTCAATAACAAATTTACCCAACCATTACTTTAGCTGCCTTGAGAGACCTAAAAACAGAGGAACCTTTAATGGCTGTTAGAGAAAACAAGGCGGCAGGCAGTTCAGTTCTTATTAACTCAGCTTTAATTCTCTGCACTACATATTAGCTAAACCTGTTGGCCACAGGACAGGCAGCCCAGTGTTTGCAATATGAGCAAAACAAGAATCTGCTTCTCCGTGCTCTCATTTTCAGTGCGGTCCCCTCTTTGCTATGTTAACACCTACAGGGGAAATTTCCCTTCCCCTCTTGCAGAGGGCTGATTCCTCTGGGAGCTACTCGGGCTGCTGGCCTGACTCCACACCCTGCTGTCAGGCAGTGGCCATCTGAAGGGTATTTCTTTCGTGACAGAGGACAGGGTAGGACAGACATCAGAGGAGAGCAAGATCTATGTCTTAGTCCCATTGCAATCGGCCTTGATTTGCTGATTCGCCCCCATCTACAAGGTAGGTCCCTCGAGTGGGATTAGGGTCCCATGTCACAGCTAATGAATATGTGTGGCCTTCAGCTGGGGATGCCCAAGCCAATGTCAGGGTTAAGCTAAATAAATGATTCAGGCATTATTTGGAAGCAAATTAGTTTGTTTGTAGGTAGAATTTTTGGTCTCGGGGATGGGAGTTTTTTGTTTTGGTTTTTTAGGGGTTTTTTTGTTTTTACATCAAATGGTCAAGCAATTTTCTAACCAGCTTGCATTTTTGCATGGATCATTAAAGGTGACAGATGAGGAAGTCTCACCTAAAACTCAGAATCTGAGGCATGTCAACACAGAGTCATGGAGCAATAGCTGGGCTCTTAGCTATGAAACTCAGTGGAGCAATGGGGCAAGACATTGTGCTCACTTACTCTAAGCTAGGAATGTTGCACAATCCTTTCGAGTTCTGGGGGGGGGTTTGTAATTTGCCACTTGATTTTAAATTGTAAAGGCAGACAATTTTAAAGCATATGGGAAGGTTTCACTCACACATTTTTCCAGTAGAACTTTCGTTCCCCCACTGAAGCCCTGGGTATTGAATTTTGAAATATTTGTGATTCAGCTGCCTGTTTGAATTTTTGCAAACATCCATAAAAATGAGCAGAACCAAAAAAATATATCCCACTTTGTTTGCTTGAACCTGTCTCTGGGTAAAGACAGTATGATGAGAGACAGATGTGCCTTGCTCCTGTTCTGACATCTGCCAGCGTGGAAAATTTACAGTTATCTCTCAGAATTGGTGAGAGGGGAATGACAGAAAGCTCCATACAAAACCCTGAAGGGATCTGTTTGCCGCATCCTCTGTTAGCAGGATTCTGCAACTTTTCCCCAACCTTCTCCCAGGCACCACAAAAAATGGGTAAGGGCCAAGAGCAGTACAGGTCTTACACCTTTCTACCCACGTCATGATCAGGAACAACCCTATACTTGGGACACAGAAAGGCAGTGGGTCAGCAAATTCACTGAGTTCATAAAACAGCTGATGTGGAGAAAGTTGTTAATTCCCCTTTAAGACCTGCCTCTTCAACACTAAATTTTTCAGGCATATTAACCCAGTGCTGCATTTTCACAGCTGACATAAATCTGCGTGGCAAGGGAATTTACAGCAGACCTTGGCTATGTAGTTATTGGCTATAGCAATCTTGCCCCATGCAGAACAATATGTGGAACAAGCCATCATTTACAGCTGGATTTATACCGGTTTGTTCTAAAGAAATGAACTTGGCAAATCATAAATTCCCTTTTAAAAAAAGAAGACAAAGAAGAAAGGTGGAAAAGAGACAGGACCAGCTAATGCCTATAATGTAGAGCCTTCCAGGAAGCTGTTCTGCAGAAGCTCTGATGGGCCAGTGTCCCTTCACGCCAACAGCAAAGCAATTCATTTGGGAAGTCAAATTGGGCCTAAACAACCTCCAAAAATCCCTTTGTCCCTGAATTCTAGCAAAGTTGTACTCCAGGATTTACTGTTCAGCTCCTTCTGTACCAAAGCAGACAAGCAGCACAGAGCCAAAGGCTCCTGGGACTTTGGGGAAATGCTGGTACACACCCAAGCCTGTCTAGGAACTGGTGCATAAGGACTGCACCATCACAGCTTCTGGCTGCCCAGACATATGATCCAGGTGATAACCAGCATCCATTCAGCTGCACATCACAACATGATACAACAGATTGGGATAGAAAGAATGCAGGCAGGACTTCATAAACATCTTGCAGCAGCTGGATATTTCCACAGATGACAACAGCTATCAATAGACTCAGTGTTTACTTGACTCCGAGATGGAGAAGCCGCAGTTGAGGAGAGTCAATGTCAGAGGTTAGCCTTACCTAGGTGAGCAATGGATGCTTCCAGCGCTTTCACAGCTGCAGCATAAATCCCCAAGTGCTTTGAGTTCAGGTTGTCAGTGATTGCTGCTACCAGAGAGACCAGCACTGGGTGTAAGGCATTTCTGAGCATGGGTATCATCAAAACCAGTGCCTCCAGCGCCTGCTGATTCACTTTCTTGTGCCAATCATGAAGTCTCAGGAAAAAAAGATCAAAAATCTGTTAAGAAAACAAATGACATGAAAGCTGGATTAAAATGTCTTTGTTTCAAGAAGGATGTAGAAACAAGTACCCAGCAATGTAAAAGATAAATGTAATCCTTTTTGTCAGGTCAGCACTGGCTAGCACAATTTCACTGTTTTCCTGTGGGCTACTCACTGTAGTGGTTGCACAGCCTCATGCTGGTTGAAAAGATTTTCATGTTTTATTAAGAGGTTTCAGTGGGGACAGGATAGTTCCTATGTTGTTTCTTTTTACCTATAAACCATTAAATTAATCCCATTTTAATAATGCAAAATAGTATCTTTGGTATAGAGGTATGAAAACAGGTATTTATAAAGTCCATTCTTCCATAAAGTTGTCTCAAGTACTGAGGGTAGTTTTGATTTTGCCAAAACTGTGGCTGGATGAGATCCAAGATTTGTTTTATCTGCCTCAGAACCTGCGTCTGGAGGACTGCAGGGCTCTGATGAACTCTTCAGGACCCAGACCATTTGTCTAGCTAACAGGTAGACTTCTGAAGTTTAATGTGCTGTGCATTCCTCATTAGAGCAGGTTCAGTCCCTTGATAGCCACATTATCAGGCACCATTTTCTGGAAAAGGGGAAAAAAGCAGCTGCTGGGAGGAGAAGGAAGAGAAGATCTGTCTCTAGCCATTTTCCTCCTCTTTCCAAAGAGAAAAGAGGACCCCCAGGAAGGGTGAGAACAGTCTTTCCCAAGCAGGAAAGGGATGAGGACAGAGGTGAAAAGGCAGAGTTGTGTCAGTGCAAGACAAGATAAAATTTACAGGAGCATCCTTTAAAAAAAAAAAAAAATATTTTTTTAAAAATCAACCTAGCCTGACACTTCTCTCCCCCATCCCAACCCATTTTTCTTCTAGAGAATAGTTGCCAAGCTTTCAGTGGCTGGATTTCCTTTATTTCAACCTAACTGGTAGTAGGAGACAGCAGAAGCCACAGCAACAGTAAATTCTGTCATCGTCTCGTGAACAGCACCAATAGGCACTTGCCAGAGAAATACATCTGGACTGAAATTACTTGCCTTGAAGCCTGGAGTTGAATTAAATTATTCTGGGTAAGAAGGGACCAGCCTGTCCCAAACAGCCAGTATGTAGTGCCAAGACACACTGAGTTAACTTTACTGGTACAGGCTTGGGAAGAGAGCTAACGGGAAAGGAGCAATAGAGAGCCCTACATACCTGGACAATGTTATTGGAGATGAGCTGGGGGCTGTTTTTGCAGTGATCTAGGAGGAGCACCAGTCCCTCCATTCGTGTCTGAAAATCCTTGGCTGCCAGGAGCTCGTAAAGCTCCCGGAGCCGTTCAGTTTCTTCCGCAGTCCGAAGTGACGTGCGACGGACTGTCTGACGGGGTAAGATGGGTACGACAGAGCCAGACCCCAAACTGGAAAATAAAAACAAGGTAAGATCTTTTGGTGATAATATCTTCAGTTAATTGTGAGGAGAACAACTCGAGGAGACTTCCTAATGATGTGATTTCAGCTAGATCCTGATCTCAAAAGCAACTTGGATCTCATGACATTCATTACAGGAGACAATCTGAGACAATCTGCAAGTAACATTAGTAACCTCTAGTGCTTACTCAGGAAAACCAAGGCACTGAGGATGGGATTCATCTCATTTATCTTCAGCTATCTTCCCAGCTACTCATCTAGCATCCCTTTGTGGGGAAAAATAGGCACTACTTCAAAGTTTAAATGCCTCATCTTATGGGAGGTGTCTGTATTATAAGGAAGTTAATTACTCTGGAGAAGTGTCTCTACAACAGGTATGGGAATCTGGATAAATAGCTCAGATGCATCTGAACAGATGAATCCCACCCAGAGAGATTAAGGGGCATATCTGAAAGGATCCTGAGGATCAGTAACAGTGATAAAAGCAGAAGCCAGACATCCCACCACAACGCTCACATTATTGCTTCCCTAGGGACTGGATCCACAGCTTAACAAACTCAATAGGAACAATTCTCTTGGATCAACCTCTCTGCCATGAGCATGGGGAGATCCTAACTATGCTAGTGAGGTGTGTGGTCACCTTCCTGCCACCGCTGAGCACAACAGAGCTAAGCACAACAGAGCTAAATAAATCCACTCTGTCACCAGAGGAGAACAGGTACAAGTAGCTCTCCCACTGGCATGGGGAGACAGCAAGGACCAAATTCCTATCTTCAATGCTGATTGCAGCACAGGGGAAAAAAACATGTTGTCCATCAACCAACCATTAATGGTCTGAATGACATGAATAGCTACAGAAAAAGTCCACGCTGAGACGTCTGTTGACCAGAACTGCTCTGGAATTGTCTTGCTGGTACTGTTTGAGGGTCAGAAAGCCATGCTTCAGCCAGGCCAAACAACATGCATGGAAAGTGCTATTTTTGGGAATGGCACCTTGGTTCTAGACTGGGACTTCTCATCAAACCATGCATCTAAAAAAGACTCCACTCAGATAAGAATACCCTGACTGAAATTACTTGTCCCAAGTCAAACAGCAGAGACACGACCCTCTCACAGCCTCCACAACACTGTCCTCGCCACTGCACTGGATCTTCTGAGCTGCAACCGCTGGCTGTCTCTTCCTCTCTCAATTTTTGTGGAAAACCCTCCAGAGAACTTGTGTTCAGCCTAATGCAGAAGTAGACATTTTTTTATCATAGAAGATTTGTGGGGCAAGGAAACAATCTCTGGCACAGCTTGTCTCCACCGGAAAGATTTTACTGAGGAAGAGACATGTAAAGCTTGTCATGTGCTTTGTCAGATATAACAGTAGTGCTCAGTACCCTCCATCAGAAGGCAAGTTGTCCTGGGGCATCATCAAGCCTCTGTTCCTAGACTTCTTGGGGTCCTTGGCAGATGGACGTTCACATTTGTCGTCTTCCATACCCTACATACATATATAAAAAACCATGAATCTATAGAAGATAAAATAGGAAATTACTCGTTTAAAACACAAGTTATAACCAGGATCACTGCTACCAAGAAAGGCCTAGGAAAACATTTTGTAACTTAGAGAGGGAGACAGGCCAGAGATTCAGTGACGTCTATTATTTGTTTTCAATAACCCAAAGCAGGTTATAGGTGCTACCAAAATGGGCAGCAGTATAAAATCCTGAATTCATTAGTCTTGAGCATAAATGGGAATAATGCGAACTGGTAGGGAACAAGCCTTCTTAAAGGGAATAGCGGGAAACTTTTGGACTCTCTGGAGGTTGGCCCATTGTGTTGGGGGTTGATTTGGTTCACACTCACTCTCCCTATTCCCGCACAAGGGCACATTCCTTTCTAGAATGTAAATGGAGAGGAATGAAAAAAAAAAAAGGGGGGATGATTTTCCACTGGATGCTGAATTCATGAAGCCTCTTCCAGCTCCACAGTGCATGACAGCAGGGCAGTATTCCCAGAATACAGACAATGTATGTACTAATTACGATTGCCTTGTGCATCTTTTGTATATTTGTAAATTTCTTGGCACTACTACTTCCTTCGTCTGTTGCAAAGACTCTATTATCTTCAGAAGCACTATTCTCACTTCCTTGCTTTATTGGGGGGGTAGTATTGGGGGTTTTTTTATGCTTGAAGGTAAAACCATTTTCTCCTACTTCCTTTTCCTGTTTGTGGCTAATATTCAAAATACACCCACTTTATTTCTAACGATACTAGTTCCTTCACTGTCTGCAGATAAACAGGCTGAGGTTCAACAGTTCATTCCCAGGAGCAAAATGATTCAGTGGAGGAAGAATGAGATAAAGAAAGATTAGGTATGTTTAATCTCATATTAGCAATCTCAGTACTTGCATAAAGGAGACATTTCTCCTGCCAACCACTTACTTTCTTCTTAAGTGTTGCCATAACATCTTCCAAGTCACGTGATGGGGCAGACTGTTTCAAATACCTATCAAATTTTTTATGACTCATCAATACATTCAGCATCTTCCGTCCATAACACCTAACACAGGAAAGAGAGAAATGAATACAGACTATTACTGTCTTTTGTCCCTTGTGAATAAACAAAGGAAAAGTGTTAATAGAATAAGCTGGTATTTTAAACTCATCATGTGCAATACCTTCATGAGAAGGTATTACCTATTCAGCAAAGAGAGATATTTACCTCCACTTGTTATCACTGCACAGTGCTGCCAGCTGAACACAAGAGGTAAGAGGAGAACACAGGGCAACAGGAAAATACAATTTCACTCTGAAATTGTGGGTATGCTTCTGTGGGATCAAAGGATCCCATGGGATGAGCGAAGCACATCTCCTGCTTTGCTGTCATGGCTTACTTGCAGTGTCTTGCTGCCATTGCACAACAATTTACCTTTCTTTAACTGGTGGAGAAGCTAGGACAAATCACCTCATGCTTACTATTTATTATTCTATACTACATGTATGCACACGGGCAGCTAGTTGCTCATGTGTTCTTGGCATCTATTAATGGGAATTTAAATTAACAATCAAAATAAGGGTTTGTTTGGTTTGGTTTGGTTTGGTTTTGCTACTATGAAACTACAGCTATCTTCAAGAGGAAATTTGGAGATCGTTCAGCCACAGACAACAACATTATACAATGATTGGGAATAAAAATTTGTGACTATCATAGGCAACTAAATCTGCAGAAGAGGTTTAGAAAGACTGAATACATTGGTTAAAGACAGCTGGAATTTTTCTAGGACAGTCTTAACCTTATCAGAAATAAATGTTTGGGATCCTTCAGTGACGAACAGTGGTCAACGCTTCAGCTTTGCATTGTGCACATAAGACCAAAAAATACTGTTTTACTGACTAGTCTGAGCTCAGTTCATCTGAATAAAGAATCATTCAAGTCACAGGAATTTGGCAATGGTCCTTCTTGCTGGACAGCCTCATGTTACCCAGTACAGTCATTTCCCCAGGCAACATTATTCACACTGTGAAGTTAACTGTCTTAATATTTACTTTACCTTCCACTCTTTTGTGGTTTTATCATTTATAGCCAGACATCAAACAGTTTTCATATTTTAGGAGGTGAATGAAGATCGTCACCTTGTGTCCTGATGACAGTCCTGAGCAAGCTTCACCACCGTGCGCACCAGCAGCTCGGTACTGTCACGCGTGCCCGACAGGAGCTTCTCGGCTCCCATTTGCTCCATTACAGTCAGCAGGTGTTCAGCGGCACACTTCCGCACCAGGGCGTTGCGGTGCCTGGAAACAAGAGAACAAACACTGGGGCAGAGGGAAAAGGAGGGCCAGAAGCACACGCCTCGGTCATAGCATGCTCCCTGTCATTGCTGGGGGAAGGAGGCATGTGTTCTCACTGCAATTTTAGCCACCTGTAGAAGATTCTATCCTCAGATAAACACAAAGTTGGCATTGTACAGAGGGACTACCTGCAAGGAATAGGGAGGAATTCAATCTCCCTGGACTATCTGATACTCAATTTCTTTCCCGAAATTAACTCTGAGAAAGAGGGAAATGAAAGACAATTCATGCTGATTTGTCAGAGGGCTCCCACTACACAGACAGAGCTGCAGCAGGATTGAAGCTTATTCCACCCGTTTATCTCCAAATCTGCAGACCCTTGGAAAAAAGCAAATGAGGGGAAAAACCCTGTGGGGCATGAAGCTGCAGAATATCCAGCAATGCAGCCAGGTTGTTCTTTGAGGCTTGGCAAGAGGTACATTTGAATGTTTTACCCTTTTCAAAAGCTGAGGAAAGGGTAGCAGTTGTTTTAGCCAGGTTGTCCTTTCTAAAGGACTTTGAAACTATCAGGCACAGCACTAATATTATAAGGCAGCATTTGCTTCAGCTATCCCATGGGAGTCGGCCTGTGAAGGCGCCTGTAAAGTGACTCACCATCTCAAGGCTAACATGCAGCATCAATTTGAATAGAAAGTGGAGCTCTAAGGACACAACAGTCAGACTCCTCCCGGCAGGAGCTGCACCTGCTGTGCAGGCTGTGCCGCACCCAGCGGGTTCTCCCCCACGTGCTCCGTGTCCCAGCAATTAGCCTCCTTATTTCTCAAGTTAATGGCATAATGATGATGCATGTTTTTTCGCAGCGCCTCTGTGGTTAGCGTGAAATATCAGAGGGCACTCACTGCTGGAATTGGCATTGTCCCTCTTCCCGCAAAGCCACGAGGCTATATCACCACCCTTTGCAGGGACTTTCGCTTCCCCATCATTCATCACGTCTACATTCTAGAGAGCGTTGACAGATTGTGAGAACAAACAGGCTATAGTAGGGCAGAAGTAGATGACAAGAGGAAGGGAGCGAGGTTGATCTGAGAATCTAATCACCGAGTTCACAGAAGATGCAGGAGAAAGGACCCTTCCCTCCCATCATTCCCCTTCTGCCTCCTGTCCCTTCCCCCTACCCACACAATTTAAGGTGAAGGATATCACTAAGAGAAGAATGACATACTGGACTCCACTAGCCATGAGAGCAGTCATTGCTCGTGCAGGAGTCACGTTCCCCACCATGATCCCCAGGGACTGGCTGGCTGCTTTCTGAATGAACTCGCTGGAGTCCCCCATCCTCTGGAGCAAGACCTGAGCAATCTCATCCACCTCGTGGTCCATGTGCTTCTTCATGGTCCTGAAGAGCTCTCCAAGAGTGCTGATTGCAAAGCGAGACACCTTCGAGCGGAGGTTGTTCACCTGGGGAAGTCATGAGGGGAAACGTAAGAATCACCTTGTAAAGAAAATCAGTTCCCCTAGACAAAAATCCCAGGAAACAACAAGACTTCTCGCTGTGCCCAGGTGGAACATAAGAGCACAGCAAGAGCAGAAGACCCACAGAAACACACTTACTCTGATACCAACTTCTTCTCTGGCCTCAGGCCTGCTTATACAATACAGTTTTAATGAGACTGCAGGCCTAAAAAATATTGTTTCACCTAGAACAAAGTGTGCTACTTAGCTCATGATGTACACTGCTTTGATTTTAGGCCGTTTTATTGAAAACAAACAAACAAACAAACAAAGTAAAGCAAGGGCTGTTTTTAAACTATAAAGGCACAATTCATAAAGACAAGAGAGAGGGAAAGTAGTACTTTCCTCCTGTCCAAAAACGCAGTACTGGCAGTTTGAGCACTCAACCAGGAAACAGAAAATACGGGCTCAAGTCTACAGGCTAATTCGCAGCAGGGACTTGAGTCCATCTGCGGCTCCATCTACTCAGGAGAACCCTAGCTGTTGGCTCAAGGCACTCAAGGATCTTGGAGATCACATGCAATTACAGCTGCGATCAGTGGGGTTTTACAGCATTCAGTGCTGCTCTGGAGTGATCCCTGCTTCCAAAAGGCTCTCCCACAAGGGTAAGGAAGAAGCATCTCAGAGTCATGTGCTTCATTTGAAAGATACTTTGAAGGACAGACCAGTGGTTCTTTCTGCCAGACTTAGTTGTGCCTGTTAATAAAAATGAACAACATATGTGCTAGAAATGCTTGCGAAAGCAAAATCTGGGACTGGAGTGAAATGAAAGCTGAAAGATGTCTCTGTACATAAGTGTGTAGAACAGAGAGGAGGAAATTTCCTCAGAAATATAAAAATGATATAAAAATCAGATGAGCTAAGCTGAAAGGGCTTCTTCTCCTAACCTTGATCTCAGAGTGGGACAATCTGAGTCCTGCATATCTAAACAAAAAGGTTTGAAGAGTCCAACGACACAAGGGGCATTCAAACCTCCAACATCATTAAATATTGGATAGAAGGACTGATTTTCATGGAAATGAGCTAAGTCTTACTGTCTTCTGCAAGCAAAGGAAAATTTAATATATTTGGCAATCGTCTAGCAAGAGTACAAGGCAGCTCGTTCAGGCCACAGACAAGTGACAAGTTGGAAATATAGGCACAGATGTTATTAAGGAGCTTAGGTTGACACCTCTCTGTTAACTGAGAGATGAGATAGTGGAGTTGAGCCCGCCTGCCCTGCAAACCCCACAGACAGGCCGCTCCAAGCACCCAGTAGCTACAGTGCAAAATTCCACTGGTGCACGGAGGCAACAGATCAATGGAAAGGGCAAATTACCAAAAAGCACGCAGAAAGGAAGAAGGAGAAGCCATCATCAGGGAACACTGGAAAATAAATACCTGCAGTCAATCCCCCACGATGCTCAGGAGGAGGAAGTGGGAAGAAGCTGGGAGGCAAAAGCTGCAGTGTTTAATTACAGCTTGGGCAGAGATTTGGGCCGTGGCAAATCACCTGATTAGTGTCTTGGTTTCTGCATCTGTATATTGCATTATAATGACACCTAACTCAAAGAGGAGAGAGTCAGATGCCCTACATACCAGTAAATATAGCTATATGTACAGACAGATCATATAGATAGGTGACAGAGCTATTAGAAAAATGAGGTCTAAAAATAGTAATGAAGGCAGACACTGAGCACACATGTAAATGAACAAGCACATATCTACTCTACGCGCCATGTACGAGGTATGTGGGACACAATTAAACACAATTTTCTTACCTCTTTGGTAACTGCCAAGGCAACATCATGAAGTCTACAAAGAAGAATTTCTGAGTGGTAGATAGCCAGGCGTCTGACGCTGAAGAGTCCCTTTGCCTTCTGCTGCCTGAAAGGCAATTTCCAACAAGATTGATTTTTTCTCACCACCCAAGAACTAGGCAGCACCCTCTAAAATTACCAGGGTGTGGGCTCAGACAAAAGAAGGGAGGTGCTTCTCATACAACACTTAATTAAATCATGGAACTCATTGCCACAGGATGCTGCGGCGGTCAAAAGCGTACATAAGTCCAAAAGGCAAATAGATGGCTTCAGAGTGGATGGGTTAATTTGTGGCCATTAAACAGCCTTTCTGAAATCCCTGGCACACAAAGTCCCTATGTCGCTGCTTCCTAGAAGCTGGGAGGCTGTACCGTGTTTCTGTTTCTTGCACCCTCCCTGTACCCTGGTCCCTGAGATACAGTCCCATCTGGCTGTTAATGGGGTATTTTCCCTCTTTCCCATCCCCAAAGGGAAGTTCAGGAGT